CAGTTTCAAAGATGCGTTGAGGTCCGTTTGCGTGCTGATACTGTATTCCAGACGGACATAGCTGTGTCTTCAAATAATATATATTTACTTAGCCTTCAAGCAATCATATAACTACTAGTGCCTGCTAAAGGCTGTCTATATTTTGACACCCTATGTATTATTTCACTTTAAAACCCAAATAGTTTCCACCCTTAAACATATATGGTAAATGTTTATGTTGGTAATACTTAGACAATCCATTCCTCCTCAGCTTTTGTGCAGATCACAGTATCACAATATTATTATTATTATTATTAATAATAATAATAATAATAATAATCTCTAATCACCTCCATTCGTATCTATTTCGAAAATGAGTTGATCAGTGTACCATTGTACGACCATGTTCATCTCTCATATTATACACCATATGGAATGAAACAGACCATCGGATGGGAGGAGGAACAAGAAGTCTCATCCTACCCTGCGAGTGCCATGGCATTGCTCCAGCGCCCATCTATTATGCGCATCATGTGGCCTGCAAAGCGATGTTTGAGTTGGCCAACGTGGCAGAGAGGATCTTTCACTTTTTATATTTTCCAAACATCCTCTTTGTTCAGTCCGCTTTCTCTCTGCATTTGAAGAGACATACCAACAAGCTGTCTTTCAAGGGAGTCATGTGTGACCTGTAGTTGTTCTGAGAGAGCCTTTGTCATTGTCCACGTCTCTGCACCATAGCATAGGACAGATAGCACAGTCAAATCAAACAATTGAGTTCATAGAGATGTACTTCCAGTTGAGTCTACAGCAGTTTTAATAGAATTGTAAATGGTCCATCATGCTTTCCTCATCTGTTCAACTCCAGCTTCCTTCCTTGATGTTAACAGTCTTCTGAGGTAGACATATTTTACATTTTCAAGGTTGACGCCATCTACTGTCATTGTAGCACCATCTGCTAAGTTGTTTCGGAGTACCTTTGTCTTTTGTGTGTCCATCTTTAATCCAATTGACCAACTTCTACAAAGCTTGCTAAGCATTCTGAATACTTCTAAGGCTGTATGCATGATTAAAACCATGCCACTGATAAAACACTGGTGATTAAGCTTTGTCTGATAAATTACAGCTTCCTATTACACTTTCCAGAATAGCAGAAAAAAGGTTAGATGAGATGGGATCACCTTGATGTACACCTTTTTTCCAGGGCCATAGCCAGAAAAATTTTTTGGGAGGGGTTGGAATTTTCGGGGGGGGGGGTGTGTGTGAAAATTTCACAGGGGGGGGGGTGAAACCTGCCTCCTAGCTCACGCTAAAGCAAAGAGCACAGCAGGGGGCAGAGCAGCCTTCAATAGTCTGCAGCTCTGCCTCTGTCAACCACCTCCACCAAGTCTGGTCTCCTTAATGAGAACATTCAACACACACACCCCATAATGACAATAATAATAATAATAATAATAATAATAATAATAATAATAATCCTTTATTTGTACCCCGGAGGCCTCGGTGCAGCTTACAAGAGGCCGAGCCCAAATACAACAGTAAAAACAGCAACAACAATACAGCAAAATAACTCTAAAAACAAGGCAATAACATTAACAACACACCATGACGCAATTAAAATCTGTGGCAGGGCCAAATGTAATAATTAAAATTAAAAAGTGCTGGGCATGACCAGGTGGAAAGGGTAGGTGTTTGAAGGGGGATGGGCATGCAGTTATCCTGGCTGGGGCTTGCCTGATGTCCTTAGGGAGAGAGTTCCAGAGTCGAGGGGCCATCACCGAGAAAGCCCTATCCCTCGTCCCCGCCAATTGCACTTGCGATGCAGGTGGGATCGTGAGTAGGGCCTCTCCAGATGAACGAAGAGATCATGTGGGTTCGTACACAGAGATGCGGTCAAGCAGGTAGGCGGGTTCCAAACAGTGTGAATAAATTGTCAATATTTGCCTGAGATAGTGCTTGCAGTTCTGGAGGGACTCTTAATTTTTTGCATCTCATAGACTTAGCATGGGGATTTGGTTAACCAGTTAAAATTCATGAGTAAACCAGTTTTTTAAAAAAAATCTGAAACATTTCGGGGGGGGGGGGTTGAACACCTAAACCCCCCCCCCTCGCTACAGGCCTGCCTTTTTCTACAGGTACAACAATGTCATTGAAAGCCATTAGCATTGTTGTATATCCTCTGTAGCATGCTTGGATGATGTTGATGTACTCTTCCTGTACTCTTTGCTTCCTCTGATTGTTCCATACGTACTCTGGTTCCACACTGTCAAATGTCTTCCTCTAGTCAAGTGAGGACGAGTGGTATTTGGTATTTGTGGGCAGCTTCCAATATTCTATGAACAGTCAGGATATGATCAATGGTGGAGAATGAGTGACGGGATCCAGCTTGTTCAATTGTCTGTGCCTGCTCCAATATTCTCTGATGCGGGCTACAATATACCCGTTGACTTTGTAGAAAACCAGTAGGAGAGTTATTAGGTGGCAGTTCCTCAGATCTTCTTTGTCTCCTTTCTTATATAAGAGGATTGTTTTTGAAGTGTTCCAAGTTTTTGGTACATAGCTGTCTGCTAGATAATGAGAGAAGCAGCAGGCAAGTTCTTTGTAAAGGGGTGGTCCCCACGCTTTTAAAGGTTCTGCGGTGATACTGTCTTGACCAGAAGCCTTTCCATCTGATATGTTTTCAATGGCCGAACGAACTTCAGGCGAGAGGAAGGGAAGGGTGGTGTTGGATGAAGAAGGAGGGTGAAGCTGTTGTGGCAGAGCAGTGCAAAATAGATCGGTGTAAAACAATCGCATCTCCTGCTCAATGAGAAATTTGGAAGTGGCTTGGTTTCCTTCACTGGTCTTTAAACATGGGATTGTCTATCTGTACCCTGCTAATATCATGAGCAGACTTTTTGAGACTCCTTTTGGCTTCAGCTATGGAAAGCAAACATGACTTCTCATAATCCTTGTGATCACGATCCACTACTTCTCCGCATGTCCTGGATAATTCATGAAATTCAGGAAAGGATCGATTGGCATTTCTTATTTGGTCTAACAGACATCTCGTTTCTTCCAACAACCTTCTTGTGGCATGGCAAGAGGCACAGGTTGTGGTCCTTGGTTGATTCCTACAAGCCTTTCCACAAGTTGTTTGTAGTCCTTGTCAGTGTCAGGCAAAGAGCGAAAAATTGTCAAGGCTGCTGCTGTTGATTCTGCATCAGTGTCTAGTAGTCGTCATGGGGGTTTTCCATTCAACAGTCAGTCCAACCTGACACTATTCTGACTGAGAGGAACATCTGTGATCAATTCCAATGATTAAAGATGGTACTAGTGCTATATCTATTATGCCACAACGGTTGCAGTGAATGCGATCAAGTTCATGTTTGTGAAGTCCATCTGGGCTCACATGGATCCATCTTTGAGCCGACAGCTTTTTGAAGTGGCTTTTGCTGTGCCAAAAAACAGAAGGCTTCACAGAAATTAGCAAGTTATTCTCCAAAGTTATTTTATGTTGTTCTATGTTATTATTTATCTATTTATTTATTTCCTATATTTATACCCTGCCCTTCTCCCCCCAAGGGGGGGACTCTGGACGGCCTAATAAAGCATCATACGATGCTAGCGTCATAAAAACAACCAAAGTACAATCAAAATATTAAAAATTAAAACAACAATTAAAACAATTAATTAAGACACATCCATTAAAATCCAAAATCCAGTCTGGGTCAATTCATTGCCATAAGTTGTGTGATCTTTCACTGATCAAACGCTTGGCCCCATAACCAGGTCTTGATTTTCCTTCTAAAAGACAAGAGGGAGGTGGCCAATCTGATATCTCTAGAGAGGGTGTTCCATAGGTGGGGGGCAACTGCTGAAAAGGCCCTGTCTCTCATCCTCATCAACTGTATTTGCGATAGTGGTGGAATCGAGAGCAGGGCCTCTCCTGAAGATCTTAAACTTCTTGATGGTTCATGACAGGAGATACGTTTGGACAGGTAGTATATATTCTATGTATAAATATAATATATTTATAATATAATATATATTATATTTTTATATATAAATATAAATATTAAATATTTATAATATATTACCAAAGGACACGTAAACACAATATTCTCAAACTCTCTAATTTAAATATTGTAATTTATATATTTTTTCTATTGATGATGGCATTCAGAAAAGAATATTTTTGTCAACATTCTCTATTTTGTTCTGGTGAAACACATGGAAATTCGTGGTTCCAAAGAAAGCATCAAAGATTCCATATGATCCCTCCTTTTCAAATGTTTCCAAGCTACAACAACTGATGACACTTTACAGATGCTTTGCACCATTCTGTGACAACCCATATGCTTGCAGGGAAATAAAGCTTATTTCACACCATGAATTATTACTACAGTATCATGTAACACACTTTTCTGAACAGTGCACCATTAGTGGTAGCAGCTGTGTTTTGTGAATGATGGTGTTTTTATTGTTGTTGTTGTTGTTATTGTTATTATTATGTTTATTTATATCCTGCTTTTTCATTCCACAAGGAGAGAACTATGATGTTGAGCATTCCATGAATTTAGTTCCTCCTCTCCAGTAGTCATTTTTATTTCTTGCTGTCCCCCATTTCTTTTCTGCTACAGTCAATGTGGCAAAGAAGCAGCGGAGGCAGTGATGCAGTTTGCCAGCCCAGATGCTCAGTGTTGTGCCTGCAAAGAAACCTTTAGCAATAGTCACAAGTACAGACTACCGATGTCACTGGATTGTATGGACTGCTAAAGGTCTCCATGCAGGTACAACATAGGTACACCTGGACTGAATTGGCTGGATTCTTCTTTAGCTTTTCTTAGTTTAAAGATACACTTAGAGAGATAAATGTGTGTTTTGCGAGACATTAAGAAATAAGCAGCTTGATGAGCTATAGATTTCTCTTGGGATGATAGAAGAGTGCAAATGTTTAATATTGTTGTCTTTGTAGTGGATGGTAAAAGTAGTAGAAATCATTACAATCTAAACCATGAGACATGTTTCTTCTTTCTTTACAGTGCTTTGCTGTCCGTTCTTTAGGATGGGTAGAAATGGCAGAGGAAGATTTGGCTCCTGGAAAAAGCAGTGTTGCTGTAAACAATTGCATCCGACAGCTCTCTTATTGTAAAAACGATATACGAGACACTGTTGGCATTTGGGGAGAGGTAAGAAATGTTTCAGTCTTATCTGCCTCCTTGCTTTCTGGTGACACCTTTCTGCCACTTGGCCTTTTTCCAAATTCAGGCAAGAAATGCCAGAGGCAGAAAGAATAGGGAAGTAAAATAGTCAATAGAGTAACCTCCTTGTTTTCGCTATCTAGGAAAACTGCTCTGAGTCCCCTCTGGGAGATAGAGTGGGATATAAATAAAGTTTATTGTTATTATTATTATCATGTAACAACTTGTTGTTGTTGTTGTTGTTGTTGTTATTATTATTATTATTATTATAACACGATGATATGAGTCCACAGCAGACACTCTGCTGGCTGTTGAATTGGATCACATGTCGGACACTTCCCAAGTATGTATCGGCGAATAATGTGTGTAGATCCCAGTAAGGCGGCCTTCTGCAACTGGCAGATGGTAATTTTGTCAGCGCCAATTGTGTTTAAGTGCAGGCCAAGGTCTTTAGGCACTGCACCCAGTGTGCCCTTCACCACTGGGACCACCTTGACTGGTTTGTGCCAGAGTCTTTGCAGTGGTTGTTGTTATTATTATTATTATTATTATTATTATTATTATTATTATTATTATTATTTATAAATGTTGCTGTGCAAGTGGGCAATGATAGCTGTCTTCCTAACAGAAATCCAATGCAAAATAGTTTTAGAAGAGCTGTCTTCAGCTGTGACTATACGAAATGAAGGCTCCTACAGTTATATGCAAGCTTCAGTCTGTACGGACTCTTCTTAAGAGGGGAATCAAAATGTAACAGCTTCCCTGTTTGGTCACAATAAGGGTTAATCATTCTACCAACATGTTTCTAACACATTAGAGAGAATAAGAGAGTTGGAAGAGATCACAAGGGTCATCAAGTCCAACCCCCTGCTATGTAGGAATAGACAATGAAAACACTCACAACAGATGGCCATCCAGAGATTCCACCACACTGAGGCAATAATAATAATAATAATAATAATAATAATAATAATAATAATAATAATAATAAACTTTATTTATACCCCGCCACCATTTCCCCAATGGGGACTCGGAGCGGCTTACATGAGGCCAAGCCCAAATGACAATTACAATAAAGAAAAGCCAAAACACAAACCGAAATGGCGAACAATAAACATCATAGTTACATAAAACATATTCCACTGCCAAACAGCCCTTACTGTCAGGAAGTTTTACCTAATGTTCAGGCAGAATCTCTCTTTCTGTATTTTGAATCTATTACAGCATAAAACATGCTTCTTCAATATAATAATAATAATAATAATAATAATAATAATAATAATAATATAGTAATAATAGGATAAAATCACGATCTGTCAACTACAAAAGGCCACCTTACTTGGATCTGCGCACATCATTCAAAAATGCATCACACAGTCCTAGATGCTTTGGAAGTGTTTGACTGGTGACTTTGTGATACGCAATCCAGCATATATCTCGTTTGCTGTGACATACTTTGTTTTTGTGTCAATAAAATAATAATAATAAAGTGGGGTATAAATAAATGAAAGTAACAACAACATCAACAACAACTGTATTTGGCACCCAGCTGACAAGGGGAGGTTGGAGGTCCTGTTCTTTGCATCTTTGTGTGGAAATAAGGCTTGTTGAGGGAGGGTGGATTTGGAGAAGAGATTATCTTGGTGGACAAAAGCTTAGTATTTTTTGTATATATCAATCTTCCTGTACGCTTTCTAGAAGTAACAGACAATGTTTTTCGTGTCTTTTTAATTAGGGAAAAGACATGTATCTTATCTTGGAGAACGACATGCTAAATTTGGTTGACCCCATGGATCGCAGTATTCTGCATTCTCAGCCCATTGTGAGCATCCGGGTCTGGGGAGTAGGCCGTGACAATGGCCGGTGAGTCTGAAAAATATTTCTTTCTACAGTGTTGAAATCTCTTGTACAAATATTCTACAATCTAAATTACCGGGCAAAGTTATTCAAAGGTTTAGGCTGAGGAACCCACAGGTTCTCCATGAAGTCTTCTTTTCCATCTTCTGATCCTAAGAGGTGTTCTCATTACACTATATAACAACATTTGAAGATTTTTCTGTTCCTGGGGTCAAAGTATAATTTCCTGTTTAATAGTACTTGCTTAGAAAGTAGTTGTTATACTCCAGAAAGTTAGATTTTGTGGCCACAAATTATGTTGAAGTGGTGAGACTCTATCAGATAGTTATTGAAAAACTATACTGTCGCAAAATGTGCTGCAGGATGTCTTGCAAAAATAAAGTTTGTGCAGTTTACTAAACTGAACACATGTTTTTATAATACAACCACTTAGGAAATGACATTTATAACCCAGAGACAAAAATCGTGTTGCGTACGTAGTGTTGTCTGATCACAAAAGTCCTCAAGGACTTCGGAGTTATGAGAGCAAAGAAGCTGAAATTTAACCTCCACAAAACAAAAGTTTAGTGGATCAGGATATCAGTTGAACTTAATGGAGATATGCAACAAATATATATGAGGCTACATTCCTTTTCAAGGGCCAGGCACATTGTTTGAGTGAACTTGTGGATGCAGTTTTGTTTATGGGGTGTTCCTTCTGCGCCTACATTAAAATGCTCTCAATCTTGTAAAGGCCTAAAAGGTTGCAGAGCTTTTTGCACTCCTGTATGTTTTCACAAAGACTTTCTGTATATATTTCAGATTTCAATATTAATATCAAAAATACGTAGTATCATTTTACATAGGATTTGTGCTACATTAGAACAGTAAAGACAAATATCACTTAAGTGAAATAAACATTAAATATTAAATAATCAGAAAAATAAAATAAGGTGTAAACACTAAACTAATCTGGGAATCTGCTATTGCAACACATCCAATGAAGTGTATAAAAAAAGATTAGGACTAAGTATGTTCCAGTCTACTTGGAATACACGAAGCTCATTCTAGAAGCGTGTTTAAGAACTGGTCCAAGAGCTCAGAAGAGCCTTGAAATGCTGAGCTGCTGAACTTGCTGTCCAAAAGATTAGTGGTTCAAATCCAGGGAGCAACGTGAGCTCCCGCTGTTAGCCCCAGCTTCTGCCAACCTAGCAGTTCAAAAACATGCAAATGTGAGTAGATCAATAGGTGCCGCTTCTGCAGGAAGGTAACAGCGCTCCATGCAATCATGCTGGCCATATCACCTTGGAGGTGTCTACGGACAATGCCTGCTCTTTGGCTTAGAAATGGAGATGAGCACCACCCCCCAGAGTTGGACATGACTAGACTTAATGTCAGGGGAAACCTTTACCTTTACCTATGTTTGCACAAGTGTACAAATCCATATCTGAGACCCTGATCACTTGTTCAACATTTTAAAAGGATAGGACATTTTTTTCTGCAATCCTCAGGAAGTATGTGGAGTTCTTCACAGGCCTGCAAGAGACTTCACAGACTCTTTTTAATCCAGTCTTTGGGTAACTTTATATCAGTGTTTTTTCACTTTTGTTTTATGTATTGTTTCCATTTAAATGTACTTTTTCTAGCGCCGTACACTTATTTTAATAATTTCGCATTTTAATACTTTCTACAGATTATATGGTTTTGTTTTTTGAAAGCACTTTCCCCAAAAGAACAGTTTAAAAATCAATCAATTAACCGAACCTGTGTTTTGTATTACATCTAAACCTAAATGGACTTGAATAAACCATAGTTAAGACTAATCACACTTTAAAGTTCTGATATAATCTGAATTTCAATTAATTGGGAACTGAAGCGAGGCTTCTCTCCTTCTTGATGTTGTGTTGAAGGAGGGAGTGTCACATGAGCCCGAGGCTCAGTCACATAGAGATAAGACACAAATCGTCACTTTGTCTAAATGTAGTCTTCTATCTACCATTCAAGTTATACTTAAAATATTTTAACCACTTCTATCACTGTACATAAATGTAGATTCATGTAGGATTTTCAGAAGGTCTCATCAGAAAGAAAATGCTCTAGAAAATAATAAGCTTAAAGACAAAAAAACAAAGCCTTCTGATTGTATCTGACAATAGATGTGCTAGTTAACTAGTTATACTAGCTATTTTTAAAACAATGTACCATATATTCTGGCGTGTAAGACTACTTTTTAACCACAAAAAATCTTCTCAAAAGTCAGGGATTGTCTTATATGCGGGAGTTGTCTTATACGTGGGAGTAATCTTTTACACAGGAGTCGTCTTATATGTTGGAGTAGCCTTATGCATGGAAGTCGTCTTATATGCTGGGTAGTCTTATACGCCGGGAGTCATCTTATAGAGCGGGTGCTGAAACTTCCAATCCGGATTGGAGAATTTGTGGTTGCTGCATATTGTGGGGGGAGCTCAAAAATGGCAGTGGCCACGTCCCTGCCGTATGCAGCACTGTATGAAAACGTTAAGGGTGATGTTGTACAAGTATGGTAGAAGAAAATCCATTCATCAGGATTCGTGGACTTAATGCGGTCCCGATGATGAGGTGAAGGGGTGCCTCACCGGGAAGGTGTAAGTGAAGGGCGGAGCAAGCTACAGTTGTCCTGGGCGCCCGGTGTATGGAAAAAAGAGATAGAATGGCTCTGGGCCCAGAAAAACACACCTCTTTTACCTGCCTGGCCCGCCCTTGTATCCTATTACCATACCTCCTCCTCTGCCTCTCAGATCTCGCTCCCGAAGACTGCAGTGAAGTGGTGCAGGTGCGCATGTGCGAGATCGGAGAGGCAGAGAAGGAGGTACAGTAATAGGGAAATTGCCATATTGAAATCAAATCTGATGCTTTTAAAAATTTTGTTTGGTGTGCGTTGGAAGAGGGGTAGTCTTATACAGCAAATATATCCCAAACCCTATATTTTAACTGGAAAAGTTGGGGTATTCCTATACACCCAGTCGTCTTCTATATATGGTATGTGCAAGCAGTGACGTGCATTGAAGCTTTAATGTACTCCAGTGTAAAGCACCCATATCAAGCAATTTGAATTGGAGCAAGGAAAGTGTCCTTAACTCATCCCCTACCAATTGTTTTCCTCAACACACCCCCTCCACACACACACACACACACACACACCATTACAGATTGTAAAAGAGTATAATTGGTTTTTTTCAGTGCAGAATAAGTAGCAAGCTACCCAGTTGGCTGCTAACAACAGCACACTTTGCTGTTGCTGCATTATTGTACTGCCCAGTTTATACTAACGTTTCCCAATTTAGTGTTGGAACTGATGACGGTTCATGTGCTGAGAAAAAACATTGTATGAATCAGATTGTTGCTTACTGATACAGCAATTTAGATTTACGATACTTGCTAAAACCTCTGTATACAGGCATTAGGTCAATGAAACAGCATTGGCCTAATGTCTTGTGCACAATTTTCTGGGTTATTTGTATTTTTAAAAAGGAAAAAAAACAAGTATGTTTGCTTTTCAAGATGTCTAAGTGGGATTGGGTAGATTAGATATAGTTCTATATCTAGACATCAAATACAAAAGAATCATATTTATCTTGTACTTATTGAGTAATTATGACTTATATGTAAAATTAATTGTTTTGGAAATTCACCATAATTTTACCATAGGGTAAAATTATGAAAGCATTTGAGTATTTTCAATGATTTTTCTCTTTTGGGTCATCTTTTGTGAAAAAATTGCTTAAAAGCATAGTATTTTGCACAAATATTAATATGTTTGCAAAACGTCCTGACATGTGAGAAATGATGAACATTTTGCAAAGACTCACATAGCTTGTTGAGAATATTCTTTACATCCCTGTGAGAAAATGATGAAAAGGGTGGAAACATCTCACGTGCCCTTGCTTTTCTGGGTTGTTTGTAATACACTAAATGAGAGCCCTAATTTAATATGCATTACACACTGAGACAAGCAACACAAGGAGACAAAGGTTGAAGAAAAGAATTATAAATCATTATTTTCTTGTCATTAATCTTTGGTGCGATAACAAAAGTGTGACTACATTGCATTACTTTTGTCAATAATCAAGGAAAAACTCTCCCTTTGTGATGTAATTGTAAATACTTTGGTTGCTGGAAATGAAAGGAGAAGCCCTTGCCTTTGTTTGTGTTTGTGTGTCTCATTGTATTGTGAGAAGGCATTGAATGTTTGTCGGTATCTGCTCTGAGTCCCCACTGGGAGAAGGGTGGAATATAAATTAAGTGTTGTTGTTGTTGTTGTTGTTGTTGTTGTTGTTACGGGCGGAGGCCAGGCTGTTAACTGGTGCCCCTTACAAGGAGCTCCATTGGCTGCCGTTCATTTTCCGGTCCCAATTCAAGGTGCAGGTGCTTACCTACAAAGCCCTAAACGGTTCGGGACCCGCCTACCTGCGTGACTGTATCTCTGTGTACGATCCCTTCGTTCATCTGGAGAGGCCCTGCTCACGATCCCACCTCCATCGCAAGCGTGATTGGTGGGGACGAGGGATAGGGCCTTCTCGGTGGTAGCCCCTCGACTCTGGAACTCACTCCCCAAGGACATTAGACATGCCCCAACTGTGGCAGTCTTTAAGAGGAGCCTGAAAACGTGGTTGTTCCAGTGTGCCTTCCCAGAATAAGGAACCTTAAGCAACATGTCCCTAATCGCACTTTACTAATGATCTAGGATTGTCTGCTCGCTCCATTTCTCTCCAAATACTCATCCTAGTTATATGTCACCTTGTCATGCTCAGTATTTTAAAATTTTTAATCATTACATTTGGCCCTGCCATAGGTTTTTAATGCGTCGTGGTGTTATTATGACTGTTTATGAGTTTATTTATTGTCTGTATTGCTGTGTTGTTTTTATTGATGTATTTGGGCTCGGCCTCTTGTAAGCCACATCGAGTCCTCAGGGAGATGGTAGCGGGGTATAAATAAAGGATGATGATGATGATTATTATTATTATTATTATTATTATTATTATTAT